AGATTAATAGATAGTAAGATATATAAGTTTAAAATTTTAATTTTTTTTATAATAATTTATCATATATTTATCTTTAAAATATCAAAATATCACTAATTAATTATATTTTTTTTTGAATTTTACTTAGAAAATATTATAAAATTTATTATAAAAATATTGATTTTTTAATTATTTAAAGTTACTTATAAGTTATAAGTTAAAATTTTATAATTTTTAAAAAAATTTTATATTAAAAATCTATTTTAATAATATTAATAATAATAGATTATTATAAAATTTATTATAAAAAATAACTTTAATTATTATAATTTTTATGATTTATTAAAAAATTTTATAATTTTTATTAATAATTAAAAAAATTAATTAGTTTATAAGTATATGAATTTAAAAAAATTTTTAAAAAATATTTTAATAAACTTTAAAACTTCTTTTAATAAAGTAATAAATATATATTAAATTATATTTTTTATATAATTATATATTACTAAAATTAATATTTAATATTTTAGTAAAAAATTAATACTTTGTTTTTAAATTCATAATCTATTAAATAATTTAAGAAATAATATAATATATATTTTAAAATTTATTTAAAAAAATTTTAATTTTTATAAAAGTAAATTAAAAGGGACTTATAATAAATTAAACAGATAAATTTACTTATAAACTTTTATGATTTAAAAAATAATTATGTTAAATTATATTATTATATTATATCATTTATAATTAAAGTTATTAGATAAATTTAAAAAATCTGTAGATATTTAAATAATAAAAATAAAATTTAGAAACATTTTAATTAAAAAATTTATAAAACTTAGAAAAAAAGTAAAGCTATATAAAAAATGATAAAATTATATTAAAATTTTTGTAAAATATTAACAAAACTAAAGGTTTAAATATTTGCTAAATTTAAAATAAATTTAGATAAGCAACTTTAATTATAAATTAAAAAAATAGATTTTGTATTAAAATATAAAGTGATAAAGTTAATGTAATATATTATTAAATATAAACTAAAAAACAGTTTCAGAAACTATTATTAAGTCTAAAGTATAAAAAAGTGATTAATTATATATTATCTTAAATTTTGAGTGAATAGACAATAAGACACCTTGTATAATATATGACTAGTATAAGAAAGTTCTTCGCTTTACTTTGGACTAATTAGTAACTTAAGTTAAATAAATAAAAATAATTTTAATAAGTATTATAATTATAATTCATATATGTATATTAAAATAAAATTAAATAAAAAATATATCAAATATTTTAAATATATTTATATATATATATATATATATTATGCAATTCTGTAATTTGAAATATAAAACAAAATTTTTAAGTATTAATATTTAATATTTTAATAATATTAGATATTTTATTTATTAAAAATATAGAAAAATATAATAAAAAAGATTTTTTTTTTTATTTAAAATTATAATAGTATAATTTATATAAATTTATTATATTTGTACTTTATCTAAAAAAAAATAATATTTTATTTAAGTATAAATTAATGTTTATCAATAATTTATTTTTATACTGTAAAAAAAAAAAATTAATAATTTTTTTAAATATTTATATATACTTATTAAACAGGTTAAGAAATTACTAATTTATAGGTTTAATTAAAACAATTGGAATGATTATAAATAAACATTAACGAATTTTACGTTTAAGAATTTTTGTGGTTGTTTAAATGGGATACTTAGTGAACTTGTTCAACATTTTTTAATGCATATTTATTTATTTTATTTATCCAATAATTAATGATTTTCTTTAGACCTTTTTTTGCATTACTCATTACTAACCAATTGGTTTTTTTCCCTTGTCATGAAATAGCGGAAAATATTATCGCCGATATTTACAAAGAAAATTCTAGTTTTTTTATGTTTCGTAACATCCGATCAATTGTTTCATCCTTAATTTTAAGTAGTACAATAATAAGTTTTTTTCTAAGTAGAAAAGTAAATGATAAGGCGGCGATGCCTTCAACAAATCGATCGGAAATTTTTCGGAAGATTCCAACACCGTGGATTTATAGAGAAAAATTTTTTCTAAAAATAAGAACATGGAAGCCATGTTCTTTAATAATTCATATTAAATTTTTTTTATTAATAACATACAAACGGCAGTATGAATAAAATCGTATCTTTACACGTCTCTCACTATATCTGCTTTTCTAAAACTATTTCTTTTAGAACCAATTATGATTATAAATTTTTTTTTTTTTAATCAATAATTTGGGTAATTTAAAAATATTTATTTTATATTTTTTATTTATTCTAATTTTGGAAGTGAATGTCTTTATAAACTCGTCATAAACCTTTGATTCATATATTATTGTTTATATTATCCTTTCCATTTTTAGTTTTAAGAAATGTTATTGAAAGAAGGAGGCTTGTAACGTTTCATCCCTAACTCGTTTCTTTATAAAAAATGAACAAAATATTTTCTTTTCAAGAGATGTTATATTATTGTATATTAGAATTCTAGGGTGTATTAATAAATTGTAACATTTCAAATTTTTTATTTTAAAATCGGAAAACAAAAAAGTATCAATATAAATAAATATTCTAAAAAGAAAGGTTGTACAGAGTCTAATCGGCCTATCCCCCCGTTAAAAAAAAAAAATAATGAAATATAAAAAGGAGCCATCCTTAAATTTATTTTCTTTTCTCATTATTTTTTTCTTCTTAATCGTTTAATTGGTTGTGTCATTGGCTTGAAACGCCCTTATTATCTAACAATCTCCTAGGCATTCGGCGCTATTCTTCCGGCTTTCTTTCCTCTTTGCATGTGTATTTGAAGCGATAAACAATCAGCCAAACATGGGGACAGTCAACGGTGGAACAATTATCAGCTTCACACCAACTCCTTCTTTACATGCCGTAACCAGCCGAATGCCTTCAATGCCTTCGCATCATCAAACTGGTTGTTCTAACTTTACCTTTCAGTTATCTTCAAGTAAGTCAAAGGTTTCTATTGTTGTGGCGTTATTTATTCATTCATTAGCATAGTCGTTATATATATATATTTTTATTTTTAAAAAAGTTCCCTCATCTCTTTGTAACAAAGCTAAAAACTTGTAACTAAACTTTTTTTTTTATTTCTCCATTTGATAACCTCAGTAGCAAATTCTGCAAAGAAGTAAGTTAAACTTATATTATGTGGCGAGATTGTGGATAAATTTATACTTCATATTATACATGATGTTCAGTGAATTAAAAATGATCAAATTTAATATAATTATTACTTATCACCTGTGAAAAATTTATTTACATTTGTTTTTATTGAATTTTTAGGAATACAAATTCAGCTGAAAGGCGAGCCAACCATAATGCCGTCGAACGGGCACGACGGGAATGCCTAAACACCAAATTTCAAGAGCTTGCCCACGCTCTCCCTTCCTTAGCGCAAGTTCGTAGACCATCAAAGTCAATAATTGTGCAAAAATCTCTAGAATTTATCTATAATGCCCGCAAAAAAGACGAAGAAATGCGAAGTCTTCGCAATGAAAATGATCATTTACGAAAGGAGGTTAATCGGCTAAGAGATCGATTAGGATTGGATCCTTTACCACCACTCGAAGAATCTACATCTCAACAAGCTGACGAAGAGAAGGAGGACGTTAAAATTAGCAGCAGTAAAAATTCAAATACACCAGAGATAAAGATCGAAGCTGATAATAACACCCCCACCATTTCCAATGCGCAAGAGTCATCAAGTTCCATTGACATTCAAGTTAAGAACGAAGGATCCCGTTCTGACGATGATTACAGTAATGAGGATGATTACGACATGGAGACAACAGAAATGATAGACAAGAGTCCTGAATTAAACCAGCAGATCGATAATAACCAGCAACATCAGCAGCAACAACAACAGCAGCAACAACCAAGCGTATACGACAGTGCGTATTACTCTCTCATATTTATTTTATTTTTATTTATTTATTTATTTTATTTAATATACAACGGTTTTTAAATTTTAATAGGTCTGTACTTGCTCGACCCAGGTCTAAATCAACACAGCTATCCAACATCAGGTTTTGGCTTCGCAATGGATATGTCACCTATAGATCAACAAATTGTCGACCCAAATTCCTTACATCTACAATTTGACGGTATTAATTTATCTTTTACAAGAAATTTTTTTTAAAATCGCTTGTAAATTATGTAATTTTCAACATTTTTATTTTATTTGATTTTTATTTTTTTTTTGATTATAACCAGATGACATGAGTGCTTATTGCGATACATTTTCGTTACAACCAGAATATTATCCATCACCTCCATATGAAGCAAATTTGTTGGAATTAGCAAATCACATGCCATATTCTCTGTCACCGGATAATTCACATAATCTTTAGAAGGTTCTCTGAATCTTTTTTTTTTTTAATATTTTCAATGTAACATGTTTAATATTGGTTTGTGAATAATTATGTAGACTTTTTGGGAACGAGCTAGCGGGCTGGTACGCCGCTATCTTTTTCTCTACAAGGAACTTTTGAATGACGCGCTTCAATACATTTATTTAAATCTATTATATATATATACATAAGTTTTGTTATTAAATCATTTGTAACATCTCCAAAAATAGATTTTCACCACCCCTTTTTTCCTTCGATTTCATTTAGAAAAGTTTGGGTTTCCCCTCCCTCCCTCCCTCCCCAACTCCCCATAATTTATTTAAATTTTTAAAATTTTTTTTTATTTAAACGGCTGATTGTTTATCCACCAAAGTAAATATGATATTCAACTTTGGTATTTAATTTGTAATTTTACACGCTTCTTTACACAACCTTTTTTTATCTAAAGATTTATATATACTTTCATTCTTTTTTTTTAATGTATGACAATTTGCGGTTGTATTACCCCGTGAATTCTTCCCTAAATACAAATATTTCAAATTATATTACGTATTTTTTTGTACAACTTTTTCTTTTAATAATATTAATTACTCTTTCCTTTTTACTCTTTTTTGTATTTGTGGGTTATTCTTATACATAACTTTGGGATATCTCCTTTTTATACAAATTTTACTCTGGCTATATATTTTTTTCATATATATATTTTTTCTCTTGTAAATCAACATGTATTAGTCTTTTATACTTATCGTTTAAAGAAAAACGATTTGTGTTCCAACAAATTCTTTATTTTATTTTATTTCTTTTATTGTTGTTGAACAAAAATAAGTGAATGCTAATTCGGATAATTTATTAGACAAATTTACCTGGATTGATTTATGACGAAAATTTGAACCGGCGTTACCCGAAATTGAATATTATTTGCCAGAGCAAAGAAAGAATTAAACCACGAATTACAATATCTAAATCAAGTTCCCTTTGTAATAATTTCTAATTTTATTTTTGGCGAATTGGCGTTTAAGTTTATTCTTTATATTTTTATTAATAATTCTTTTAAATATCATTACTTATAATAAATAAAAATATTTTGAATATCAGAATTTTAGACCTTTACACAAATTATTTATTTAATTCACATCTTTCTAAATTCGGTTTGTTCTATAAATTAAAATTTATTGAATTTATTGGCAAACACCATTATTTGTACATTTGTTTACATTATCGTTCTCGTTTTTTTTTCTTTTGTATGATCTTAACTAAGTCAAATCCATCATCAAAAAAAAATTGCTTAGTATTTTAGGTTATTTTAGGTTATTTATCATTCTTATCTTTTGTTATCTAATCAACTAAATTACTTAATGATTGATTAAATAAAATACCTAAATCTGTATTATAAAAGGAAAATATACCAAGAAAATGAAGTAAATCATTTTTGCAGATTTCTCTTTTTTTTATTTTTAAAAAAAAACGAATATTATTTATTAATGTCAATCGGGGAGTTCATTAAAAAAACATTTTGTAACCCCATTTTTTTTTTAAACAAAAAATTTTATATATTCATTGAAGGTTTTAGGGTTATATTAATCAAAGCAAATATGACATCTCATTTGCAATAATAACTTTTATTTATATTACAATTTTGAACCGCATTTAAGCTAATCAATTGTAAAGTCTACTAGTAACAATAACAATATTTAATAAATAATCAATATTACTATTCACCAATAAGTAATAATGGCAATATCTATCAATGAAATACCTGGGCCTTTTTGCACCTTAGATTTGGGCCCAGGGTGCGCACATTAAAAAAAAAAAAGCTTCTCGACAGAAATTTTTTTTTTTTTTAAAAAAAAAAAAACTAATAAATAATAACAAAATAGAATAAAAAAAAAAAAATCTTTTATTTTTGTTGAGTTTATATCAAAAGCAAATTTTAAATATTTCATCTGTTTCGAAAGATAGAAATACTTTTCAAAGTCATATGTTATTAAATTCAAATGCATTAATTTTAGTCAAAAAATTTCTCGGAAACCTGATTTTCTCCCATGTAAAGCTAGTAGTTCCATCTAACCGATATTTCGGCCATAACTTCGGCTATAAAGGCATATTCGGTTAAAATCATAATTATATAATGCAGCTCGTCAACCATGCGTTGAAGATTAATATTAATCATATCAATTTATAATTTATGATGATCAATTAAACAAATTATTTTTAGATATAATTCTAAAAAAAAAAAATAACTTTCGAGAACATTCAAAACGAATTAAAACAGTACATTTGAAAAGTTAAGAAAGGCGGTGGAGAAGTTGAAGCAGTTTGGGAAAAGTGGGGAGAGAGGCTAAAGAAGTTGTAGAATGGAGGGGAGGAAAGATTTAATAAGAGAAGAAACGGGGGAGGAGGATATATGGGAACGCGTGAAATATTTTCAAAAGGAATTATTTAAATTTAATGAAAAAAGGTAATGAACAAATAGCATAAACCAATATACAAAAATTATTTTCCTTTCATTACATTTCGTTTATTTATTTATCCTTTTGAGAGAGCAATTATATATTTTTAACTTTAACTAGTGATTTTTCTCTAATTTAGGACAAGGTAAGCAATTTTTGATAACCGTCGTGTTTTTAAAGATGTTGAAACTTTGTAGAAGGAATTTATGAGTTGAAAATTCAAATTATAAAAAATATGCAAGCTCAAATTTATAGAAAAAAATAAAAAATGGGACCCTCATTATGCATCAAGAGATAGTAAGTGTTAATAATATATAAATCAAGCCCAGAAAATGGCATTTTCCTAGCTTCGGTCCATGATTCATGTATTTTGATGAAGAATACGGCTCATGTTATTTTTGAATCTACTTTAAATGCACTTTGATTTCTACCTTTCACTTTGTTAACAATAATAATATATTTTTTTAAAATTAAGAAAATTTTTTTATATCAAGATAAAAAAAAAAAATAATAAATTTTTTATTTGTAATTTAGATAGTATAATATTAATAAATAATTTTAAAGTTAATTATTTTATATAAATAACATTTATATAAAAGAAGAATAAATAAGCATAAAATATTTATTAGTTAATAAATTTTTAAGTTAAATGTAAAAATTATATATTCTATTAGAATTACTAATATTATATAAAAATAATATAAAATCTGATTGATAAAGATGAAATAAATTAATGAAAAAAATATAATATTTATGTAATAACAAATAAATATTAAAATATTTTTAATTGAAAATAAGAAAATTATAGAATTAAATAAAGATTTAAAAGATTTAAAAAATATAAAAAATAGTGTTTACTTATAAAAAATAATAAATTAATATAAATATAAAAAAAAAGAAACAAATAATAAGAATACTTAAAAAAAAAAATTATAATAATATAAAAATAATTTTATATAATATAATAATAATTTTATAAATACTTATAAATTTAATTTAAATTAATAAAAATTTATTTTAGATTATTTATTATTTATATATAAATATTCTTAAATTTTTCTAAAAAGAAATATGTATTTGAAAATAAAATAAAATAAAAATAATAATTTAAAAACTTGTTATTTAGCATTATATATAATATAAATATTTTGCTATAAAAAAAAAAGAAACTATTATAAAAAATAATATTTAGTTTATAAAGTAAAGATATTTTTTTTTTAAATAGTTTTTTTTCTTTCTATTATAAAGTATATAAATCTTTTTGACTATACTATTATTTTAAAAATCTGAATATATTATTAGATATAATAATTTTTTTTTATTTTAAGTCTTCAATTTAATTTTAAAAGTTTTATATAAGATATTATTAAACTATTTAAATACTCATTATATGACTAATTTTAATAAATATTCAAAAAAAGAAATATTTAATCATATTTAAAAAAAAATTAATCATTAATTTTGAAAAACTAATTATAATTATTTTTTTTAACTATTAGAATTCAATTTTTAGATTATTTAAAAATAAGTTTTAATAAAAAAAAATTTGTTAAAAATTTTTTTATAAAAAGATATAACTAAAATTATTATTTATTTGTAACTATAAGATTAAATCATTTAAAGATATATCAAATAAAAAAATTATTAATTAACTATTATTGCTTATTCTTTAACAAATATTATATTTTTAAATATTAGATTATTTAAAGGCAAATTCTATAAAAAAAATTAATATTAACATATTTTTAAAGAAATCAATTAATTAATATCTATTATTTACCTTTTTTTAAATATCAGATTCTTAATATTTTTTATAGGAGAACATATTCTATTTTTTAAACTAATCAATAATTAGATTTTGATAATCTTAGAGTCATTAAAATTGTCTAATAAAAGGAATCTAATAGTAATAAATTATATTTTTAGTATTAATATTAACTGAGTTATTGTATTATTATATGTAATTTGTAAGTTAAATAAGAAATATTCAGGATCCTATTAAAAATTCAAATATAATATATATTATATTACTATAAAATTATAAATATATTATTTGTTTTTTAATTATACAAAATGAATTAATATGCAGATATTACTTTCAAGTAATATTAAATATAAAAATAGTATTATTTCACATTTAATTTATATATGATAGTATTGTAATAAAAAATAAAATAGATCAAAAGAATCTTTTTCAATTTCTAATTAATTTTACAAGAAAATAAAAAAATAATATTTATTATAATAGATTAATATTATATTTTAATCAAATCAGAAAAGATATTTATAAAGAAAAGTTAATAATTCTTAAATAAAAAATAATATATAATAAATTATTTAAATTATATAAAAAAGTAAAATAATTATAAATTATAATAATTTATTAACCTACTCTTTAAGAAAGAAAATAACAATAATTTATCAAATTCAAAAAATTTTTATAAGATAATAATACTAGTGATAAAAAAAATAATAATTTTTCAATAGCTATATTATAAAATTAAAAAAGTATTAAAGTAAGAATTAACTATTAAATATTAAATAATTTAA